TTAATTCGTAAACCCCTTTCTCTCTCCAACTTCCTCATTAAAACTGTTTATTAAAAGAAGTTAACATTAACATGTTTTTATTTCTAAGTTCGTTGAAATGTCATGTTTTTATAAACATTGAGATATCATAGAAATTAGGGAAATTTTCCAATTAGTACATGTACTTTGGGTCTAGTGCCACTTTAGTCCCCGAACTTTAAAATGCGACAATTTAGTGCCCAAACTTTTAAAACGTGACAATCCAGTACCTGCTGTTAACTAGTTGTTAACCAACCGTTAAGTGGCATTTGAAAAAGACACAAATGCCCTTCAACTATTATTTAATTTTCTTTATCAACCATCTAAACGTTGACAAAAAAATTAATAGTCGCAAATCTTTGCCTTTTCCATTAAAGAAAGTTGGGGTCACGTTTGAGTGGGCATTCTGGTGATCCCAACTTTATTGAATAGAAAAGGCAAGGATTTGAGATTGTTAATTTTTTTGTCAATGTTTGGATGTTTGATAAAGAAAATTAGATGACATTCGAAGGGCATTTATGTCTTTTTCAAATGCCACTTAACGGCTGATTAATAGTTAGTTAACAACGGGTACTAGATTGTCATGTTTTGAAAGTTTGAGTACTAAATTGTCACATTTTAAAATTCAGGGACCAAAGTGGCACTAAGCCCAAAGTAAAGTATACTAATAAGGAATTTTCCCTAGAAATTATATATACTTAAGTTGTTTCTAATTTATTTTATTGATAAAAATATGATATTTTGGCGATTTTGTAGTTTATTAATGAATTTATGAGGGGTGGATCCAATAATTTTTTATGAGGGGGCCAAAACCTAAGTGACTTTAGTGATTTGGGGGGAGGGGGGATAACTAAAGACCATTAGGGGGGGGGGGGGTGGCTCCACCCTTGTCAATAGGGTTGGATTCAAATTTAGGAAGACCCAATCCAATGATGAATCGTTTTACAGTCCAAGTGGATAACCACATACATGATTATTTTATAGTGTTTGTATTTGATTTATTTGCAAAACAGAGAAAAGCAATAATGAATTTGTTTATTAACACTTAGGCACCATTAGACACCACATCAACAAAATAGTGAATAAACGCTTGCCCGTTGGGGGAAGCGCTAAAATGAAGCTTCCCCCAATAGTAGGCATGCAGATAAATCAAGGCTTGCTTTTGCAAGTCTTTATGCGTATGAATCCACATAATGGAGGAAATGTTGAAGTGGCGCCTATGTGGCAGTGTTTATTCAATAAACACCCATGGTTCCAAACACCGCTTAATTTGCATGTATTTGGCAAAAATGCATTTTTTTTACTGAAAAATGAAAGTATATTTATTTTGTCATTTTTTTGCATTTAAAATTTAGGGTAATTTGCTGAAACCCCCTGAAGTTTTTGATTGTTATTTAAACTTCCCTTAAAGTTTGGTAGTTGTAATCATCTCTCATGAACCTGCTGACATAGTTACAAGTACACCCCCTCTGATAGAAATTTCTAAAAGAAGGCATGATAATGTCCAAAATATCCATGCAATTATTTTTAACAAAAACGTTTGTTTTTCAAACATTCTCTTCATATGAATCACTACCCCAAACCCTTCCACTATCTTTTCTGAAATTGATCTATTTTCCAAATTTGCCCTTCATATCAATCACTCAAAGGTAAAACCACAACTTTAAATTCTTTGTTTTTGTTGTTCATAAAGTTCGTATGGTTTTTTTCCCATGAAAACCAATGTCAATTGTAACTACATGGGTATTTTGGACATTTTATGCTTCCCTTTAGTAGACTATGCCAGAAGGGGTCTACTTGCAATTGTATTAGAAAGTGCAGGGGAGGTGATTGCAAGTACTAAATTTTAGGAGAAATTTCAGCAATGGTCAAAAACTTCAGAGAGGTGATTGCAAGTATTAAATTTTAGGAGAAATTTCAGCAATGGTCAAAAACTTCAGTAGAGGTTTCAACAATTTACCCTAAAATTTAAGCAAATTTTTGTAAAGTTGGTCAATGTTAACAAGTAGATTCAAGTCTTGAAACTTGTGTTTACACTCATCACAATAAAATACATATCAGTAAGAATATAAAATTTATCAATGCAAGACCCAACCAAGTTTGCAACTTCACAAATTGTGTAATGTGTATATTTGCATTTGTATTCTTAGCAATTGCAACTTAGGCTGTGTTTGGTTGCAGTGCAATTTTATTTGCATTAATACAAATGCATGAGAGTGCAAATTCTGGTTTAATTTTGTTTTGGGTTTTAATTCGTTCTACTTGAGATTTTATTTTACTTAATTCTTACCGCAATCAAACAAAATAAGATAAATTTTGAAATAAAAATAAATCATAATTTGCACCAAAATCATTTGAACTACTAACCAAACACAGCAATAGGTTGTGTTTGGTTGCAGTGCAAATTTATTTGCATTAGTACAAATACATGGGAGTGCAAATGTAAAAAATGCAAATTCTTGTTTAATTTTGTTTTGGGTTTTACTTTATTCTGTTTCATGTCTTAATTTACTTCATTTGTACTGCAATTAAACAAAATAAGCTAAAATTTGAAACAAAAATAGGTCAGAATTTACACTCAAATCATTTGCACTACCACAGTTTTGCATCGGTTCAAATTTATTTGTATTACAACCAAACACAACCTTGGGAAGGAGTACAAATACAAATTTATAAAGTGTAAAACCTTATATATATATATATATAATCATTTTATATGTAGATATTTGTATTTGTACTCTTTTTCAGCTGAGCCTCGGTGCATGAGAGGGATTATGAATCTTTGCTACTAACAACCTGGCTTGGAAGCCTATTTTGAGCTGGCATAAGTGAACAACTAGAAAAGAAGATTCTAGTTGTACATAGAATAATATTCTTTCTCATATTGGACTAAGGTATTTCCCCTGTTAAAGTGCGAACCCTATCTTATCGAAGACATTCAACACATGCTTGAAAGATGGAAGAAATATCAACTTATCCAACTTGAAAGCAAAAATCGTGTATACACAAAGCATTAATTTACACCAATTTTACATTATAAATATCTCTCGTACTTGCATATTAAATTTACAGGAAGATAATTTTATATATGGCTGAATGACATGCTCTCAAGGTGTGCATAGGACTTTTGCTTTCAGGTAATCCTGCCTTGCTTTCATCTTCCATACTTTCGAAATCTTAGACCTCAGCCATCTTCATAGCCTACAAATGTGTAAGGAAAAGTCTATGTATTTTCTTCCCCTTGAAACCAAATATGAAAATAAGAGAAAGACCGTATATCTAAAGCTGTCATTACTAATATTGGTGTTGATGCTAAGGCTGTCTTTTATTGTAAGATAAATTATAGATTACCACCCTATATTTTGCGGGTAGTAACACTTAATCCCTAGAGTTTTATTTGTGACAAATCCCATCCTAAACTTTTAGATTCTAATACTTTGCCCCCTCTATTATCATTCTATCCGTTAACTTCAAAAAAGATTTTTCTAACTGTCATTAAACATTTCAAATTCCCCAACTATCACTCTTCATTTATGGAATCATTTTGCCCTTTCTCTTATATATTTGTAGGGATGGCAATTTTCCTCGTCCCCGATGAGTATCTGGGCTCCCCAACCCGACAGGTAGGGCTGTTCACAGGTCAGGTTGGGTCGGTTTAATATCTTTTTTTCAACCGACCTGACCTGGTCGGGTTACTTAAAGAGCAAATCGAAACCGACTCAAACATGAAGGGTCGGTTTGGCATTGTTTATGAACAACCCTAAATTTGGTGTAAAATTTCATACTCAAAAGAGGAAAACAATCCTAAAGACAAAAGTAATTCCCATTTAACTAATGTTTTATTGTTCTTTAATGTTAAAAATAAGTAACTAATTAGAAAGAAGAAACTAGGATAGGGTCGGGCTGGTTTGGTCAGTTTGGTTGGTTTGGCATTGTTTGTGAATAGCCCTACCGGCAGGGTCGGGTATGGGGAGTGCTTTGGCGGGGTCGGGGTCGGGGATGGGGCTAACACTGAATCCCTGATCGGGAACAAAGAATAAAGAACAAAGGTGGCGGCTGAAAGCCTAAAACTCACAAAACCCTAGTACCCTACTCTTCTTCTTTTGTTGATCCGTTCTTCCTTCTTCGTCTATCGTCACCGATCGCCATTGCCCGTCGGTACTCTCTCTCTCTCTCTCAACGCTTTCAATTTCTGATTTTGGAATCTCAAACAGATTACCGATCTGAATCTACTCATAAGTTGCAAGTCTGGAGTCTCTCTCTCTCTCAAGTTGGGGATTCGGGTCTCCGATGGGGAACTCATCCCCGTCGGGGTTAGGGATGGAGGAGAATTTCTTTCCCCTATGGGGATCAAGGACCGGGATGGGGGATGATTTGGGGGTCGAGGTCGAGGATGGGGAATGTAATCCCGCCTCGTTGCCATTCCTATATATTTGTATAAACCCTTTTACCTGTGTTTCTTTTTTCTTCTTTTTTTCCACACCCCAAGTGGAGAAGAAATTGAGAAAGATAATGTGATTTCACCTTGCTCATTTTTGGTTAATTTGAAATGTCATCCTCTCATCGATGTAAATCTCAAAAGGACATTTTAGTAAATTAGCTTCCTCCATCGATCCTGAAGGTAAAATGTTAGAATCTGAAAAGTTCATGGGTCTTTATCAAAAATAAAGTTTAGGGGCTAAATGTCATCACGCCAAAGTATAGAGTGGAGCGGAAAGAACTTTCAAATGAATCCGTTAATGGTAATTTTCCAAAAGTTAGTTGAGAGCATTTTTAATTCTACCTAAAAGTAATTACCAAAAAAACAAAAAAAATCCTACCTAAAAGTAATTTGTGGATGGCCCACTTTTTATTCGATAAAATTGGCTAAAAACGAGAGTGAAAATTAATTAAATTACAAAATAAAAGGAAGAGATAAACGACTAACCACGATAGACTGTGGTTGGTTTGCTGGCGTGGAGTTTGTTAAGAAAGTTGTGAGCTGTATCCACCCTTATTGGAGAGAGTCCAGTGGAAGAGAGAGAGAGAGAGAGAGAGAGAGAGAAGGCTAGAAAAAAACGCGGAGCTGAGAAACAAAAACAATACCAGTTCTCTCGTCTCCCTGTAATCTCACTAATTTTTTCTCTATCCGCAAACCATCACTTATCCCTTCTGTCCGTTCCTCTCCGTCATTTCTGTGTTTTATTTGTTTAAGTATAAAACAAATTCGGAAAAGAAAAGACATGCTCGGTTTTCACTCTTCATCATTTCATCGCCCTGAAATTTATGGATTTTTTTCAATTCCCTGCAACTTTTGTCTAGATCGAATGGGGAAAGAAAGTATAGGTTGAAACTGTGTAAAGCGTGAAACTGGACTGGGTTTTGCGTTTGCTCTGCTGGATTCGCTGCTTATCGAATTGTGTGTTTCCAGGATTGGGAGTTTGATTGTTTAATTCACAAAGAAAAGGCAAAAAAAAAAAAGAAGAAAAGAAAATCAACGACAAGCGTATAAGGAATCGTTGAGTTGGCTCTATTGTTGAGGAGCGACGTCTCAAGAAGCAAACATGGATAATGGAGGGGGATCGATTTCAATGGCGAATTCGACTCCAACTAGGAAGGTGGCTGATGAGGTTTCAGATCAGTTCCCAGCTGGTCTTCGGGTTCTGGTGGTTGATGATGATCCGACGTGCCTGAGAATCCTGGATAGGATGCTTCGAAACTGCCTCTATGAAGGTATTCCTATATTAAGTTCAATACATCTTTTGGGTTTTCCTATAATAAGTAAAATCTGTGTTTTATTCTCTTTTCCTTTCGTGAAGAAACATATGAAAAAGGAAAAGGGGACCTTTTCTTTTTCCCTTATTCTCTTTTCCTAGCTATCTAAATTTATCCTTTTGCATTTTTTTTTTTCAGTGGAAGTGGTTGTATGCAAATATTTATTTTCCGCATCTGTTTTCGGTTACTACTACTTTTAAGATAGTTTTGATTGATTGGTTTGGGAATCTGAACATGAAAAAAGAGAGAAAGAAAGGCTAAGAAAAGCCCACTATGATGTTGTTACAGCATCACATCAAGATACCGGCAGATGGGTTCCACGTCGATTCAGAATAGGTTTCGTTTGAAATTTTTGTTCCCGACCTGGTTTGACATAACATCTCTCATTCCAAAAGTGCAAAAATTAATTCTACAGATGCTCTAGTTTAAGTTCCACTTAACACTTAATAGAGGTTGAAGTGGATACATCTGGATGTTTAAGCGATCACTTAATCCTAGTGGTTGGGTATTCTGTTACATAGAGTTTACGGGATACCCATCTGGTGGTTTCTCAACTGACTGAATGGCTTCGATTATTTTCAGTTACCACCTGTGACCGAGCAGAGGTTGCATTGTCTTTGCTTCGTGAGAGTAAAACTGGATTTGACATTGTTATCAGCGATGTCCACATGCCTGATATGGACGGGTTTAAGCTCCTCGAGCACATTGGGCTAGAGATGGACCTTCCTGTTATCAGTAAGTGTTGCTGCTTCATTATTTTAGATAAATTTCACTCACATTGAAAACCTGAGAACACAAGTGCGTTATCTGCATATTCTGACCTTTAGTTCCTATCAAACTGTACAGTGATGTCTGCTGATGATGGAAAAGATGTTGTAATGAAGGGTGTCACGCATGGTGCATGTGATTATCTCATTAAACCAGTTCGGATTGAGGCAATCAAGAACATATGGCAGCATGTGGTCCGGAAGAGAAGGAATGAGTTGAAGGAATTGGAGCAATCAGGGAGTGTGGAAGATGGTGACCAGCTCCGGAAGCCATCTGAAGATGGGGATTATGCATCCTCAGCAAATGAAGGGAGTTGGAGAAATTCAAAGAAGAGGAAGGATGAGGAAGAAGAAGGGGAGGAGAGGGATGATACATCCACATTGAAGAAACCACGGGTGGTCTGGTCGGTCGAGTTGCATCAACAGTTTGTTGCAGCTGTCAACCAATTAGGCATTGACAGTATGAATCTTGTATCAATTTCTTCTGATTTGTTGATATATTTATTGTTGCTCTTCCTGGTTACAATCCATACCTAGCATACATTGTTGGGGAAAAGAAAACCCATAAATTGCTGTGGTTATTTTAGATTTCTATCATTTCAACTCTGTGGAAGATTGGGGCATTATATTACATTTGCTAAGCAGTGAGCATTGTCCCTTATTTAGTACAAATGATAATATAATACTTTGTTGTCAATATTGGTAATAACTTTCTATTTATAATTTGGTCTCATGCTAAACAACAGATAGTTCAGATTGTCATCTTTTGGAATAGCATGTTAGTCTCAACCTTGAGAAAAGGGGTGTAAGATATGTGCATGCCAATACTTCTCAGGTTTTCTGTATATTGTTAGATGACATGGACCTGCAGACTCTGTAGCACAGTTTGATCATTTCTGGAGTTTATATTTTTTGTACTAGTGCTCATAATTTAACAACGGATATGGCATTAAATATAATGGAGTGGTGAAACAGGATTCATGTGGCATTAAATAAAATGACATTTTCTGTACTAATTTGTGTCTTTATATTAAGATTGTTTCTAGATTTCCTATAGCTCTAAAACCATCTTAGCTTTTCAAATCATACTTCAGTGCTTCGTCCTTTTTGAGCATCTTTTTTGAGCATTCAGCCAGGGGCATCCAGTAATACACATGCTTATCCCCCCCCCCCCCCAATGGTTGTTTTTCCAGTCTTACTCTTACTCATCCTTTCTGATTATTTTATGCAGAGGCTGTTCCTAAGAAAATTCTGGAGCTGATGAATGTTCCTGGACTCACTAGGGAGAATGTTGCCAGCCACCTACAGGTATGGTTGAGATTGATTCCGTTTGATTAAGAAAGCAATATTACCCTTGTGCTGTGATGCGTGGCTCCTTTTTCTTTGTTGATGGTGATTCATGTTCATGTTGATATGGTACAGAAATATCGGTTGTACCTTAGAAGGCTAAATGGGGTATCACAACATCAGAGTGGACTAAATACACCATTCATGGGCCCACAAGATGCAAATTTTGGGCCAATGTCTTCTCTTGATGGGCTTGATCTCCAAGCTCTTGCTGTATCAGGTCAACTTGCACCTCAGAGTCTAGCCACTCTACAGGCTGGGGGGTTTGGAAGATCAACTGCAAATACTGGCATAAGCATGCCTCTTGTTGATCAGAGGAACATTTTTAGCTCTGACACATCAAAGTTGCAATTTGGAGCAATGCCACAATCACAGAGCAGTGGTGGTAAACAAGTGAACTTACTATATGGACTCCCTACCAACATGGAGCCAAAGCAGTTAACCCCTTTGCACCAATCTGTCCAGTCATTTGGTACCATGGGTCTGCATGCTAGTGATGGAGCTTTGAGTTTTCCAGTAACATCATTGCGAACAAGCTCAACAGACCATGTGGATGGTGTCCATATTAATCAGAGTAGCTCTTTAATGATGCATATAGCACCATCTGGGACGAAGAGCCAGTTATTAAATGATATTTTAGGTAATCGTACTTCTGGGCTTCAAACGGGGCAGAAAATATTCTCAAGTGAGGTTGCTGGTCAGGTCGTGGGAAGAAATGGGATTATTCTTAATGGTAGAGGTGCTACATACAATCCAGTTTCCCAAGCCTTTCCAATGGCTGATTTTCCGATTAACCACATTGTAGAACTGTCTGGAAATGGTTTTCCTCTTGGGAGTAGCACTGCATCTTCTACTCTGACATCTACAGGGATGTTTCAAGGGGGAAGCATGGACATAAAAGGACCAAGAGGCTTTCCCCCAAGTTATGATGTCTTAAATGAGATTCTCCAAGGCAAACCCCATGACTGGAACCCACAAAATATGGGTATTATTTTTGAAACATCTCAACCTATCAACTCTATACAGGGGAAATTGGATCTTGCGCCATCAGTTTTGGGCAATCAAGCCTTTGCTTCGAGCCAGAAATTTGGATCAAATAGGACTACATCTGTTATTGGCAAGGCAATGGTCTCCCAACGAGAGGAAAATGAACATGGGAAGATAGAACATAGTGTTCAGCACCCCATCAATAATAACCCTCTTGTTAACAACGCCTTCAGGATAAAGCATGAAACCATGCATGATTTTAGCAGTGATAACTTGCTCCTTCCTCCGCATTATGTTCATGATGATCTCATGCGTACACTTTTAAAGCAGGTCAGTTTTATGTGATTAGTTTTGTATTTTTGTCAAACCTCAAGGCCTCAGAGGGTGCTTTTTGTTTACTCTCTTCACATTTTCTTTTGTTTTCTAGCAGCAAGAAGGCATTGGATCTCTTGAGAATGAGTATAACTTTGATGGATATACCATGGATAATGTTCCAGTTTAGTAGAGGACCCAACCTCTTCTATGGTGGCAATTTTCCAATGTCTGATCTGCATGATTCTTTTCAAAGAAAAAAATTATTAATCTATTTTCCAGGCAGAGGGAGGAGGATTAAAGTCTATACCCACTCCAGGAGCCTTGGGTCGCTCAATTTCCTGTAAGTCATGTCTTCCTGTTATGGATAAGCTGTTTTCTTGTACAGTTGTGAGTCCAAGCAAGCAAGATTCTGAATAAGGTGGCAAGATCAAAAGCTTGTTTGGTAAAGATCCAATGCCATGGTTGTCAAGGACAAACTGTTCGATACAGCTGTAGGACATGCGAAGGTGTACATGAAAAGTTTTGACTGCTTTAGCATAGGCTAGTTAGAACATCTAATTTTAGAGAAGGCTGTGAAGATGTGTGACTGCATTTTTGATAGACCATTCAAAGGTTATATTCAGAGACCTCTGCAGAAATTCTCATTGGAAAGGTGGTCTTTGTGACTCCAATAACGCAATCCAGTTTGTTCTCTAGGAATTGACTTGTACATAAATCATTTGATTGTTTAATATATAAATGTCGGTTTTCTGTGTTCTCTAGGAACTGATTTGTACATCCCCTTTTCTGGCATCTCCTTTCTGTTGTTAAAATGACTTAATTTGTGGATTATGGTTGGCAGGCATTGAATTAGAACTATCATCTGTTTAGATCATAGACCGCGGCCAGGTTCTGGACCTGTTTTAACGGCATGGACCACATGATTACTGGTTTTCTTCTCTATGATGATCATTATTAGTATTGAACCTTTCACTCCATGCAAAAGTACTGTTAGATTGGATGGTTCTGGTTGTTTCGTCGGATTGCTTTTCTGAACTGGGACCCTGCCAAATCCCCAATTTGGCTTTTCCTCCCAAATACCCGTCCTGACTCTTGATATACTGTCCTTTTTAGATGCATGCAATGCACAAGCAAGGCCCAGAGCAGAAGAGTAATAACTTGAATTTCCTCTTCAGACTCTGTGCAAAAGGGAGAGCCCTACCGAAAGAGTGGCACTGTACATTCCAGTTTTCCACATTAAGTCATCAATGTCTGTGATCCAACTGCAGAAGAATCAAGAGATAGTAATTTGTTTTTTCGCCCCTAAAAATGTATTGCAGCAAATGCAAATATGAGGAACAGTGCCCACCCAATGTGTTTAATTCAATTGGGTCTTGTCCCAACTCCCAACTAGTGTCAGTTACATGAACGCTGTTTGGTCGCTTCGCCCTTTGTTCAGTGCCCTGTTCATTGTTAAGTTATGGGCAATTTAATCAAGATGCACCAGTCAAATGAAATAATAGTTTATATACATTCCATGAGAAATTCGGATTAGCTGAATGCGATGGTTGCTTAACGGGCTGTGGAAACAAGAATAAATAATAATTAGGGTAAATTTTTTAAATTGCTCTTATGGTTTAGTGAATTGAGTTAGTGTATTCATAGATTAAAAAGACTATTTTGTCTATAATTCTTTTTTAAAATTTCAAAATAAAACTGTTGACACCTTTTTCAGATTGCTTAGGCTTATGTCCATGCTGAAATATGATTGACCGGTACCAAAAAAAATCATTAGAATAATTTTGACTCAAATGAGTGGGGCCGATTTCAGTCCTGGTTCGATCAGATGATGCTAACAGGCATAGAGGTCAAAAAAACTAAATTTATTTTGGTTTTCTCAGACTCATATCTCATCTCAGATCTACGATCCATGTTCCAGATATGCAACCAGAGATGGCAGCAAGAAAACTAATGGGTTTTGAAAATGTTCTTGTTTTGACAGGCGCCGATGAGAGAACCCAGTGTAAACCGTTGGGATCCTCTATTCTTACACCCTTTCTTTAAGTTCGGAACAAGGACAAGGTTCTTCTTCCAATCCGGACTGAATTTCTCTCCACTATCCGCAGAGCCGCAACAAAGGTCGATCCCTTGAATCAACCTAATCTCCGACACCGATTTGCAGTTCCAAATCCGAGACATTGAGCCTTTAGTAGCGCCATCTCATCGCTGCTGTTGCATTCTCTCCGGCAACCATTAATAACCAATTGCTGCATTCTCATCATCCTCCATGACGAGGGTGTTGCAGTCTTGTAGATGCCCACAAGCTGGCGGCAGTGTGTTGTGGATGGCACTGTTGGCGGACGAATGTGTGAAGCTACCTCCATGGAAGAAAATTATGACGGGGGCGACCTCTGTACTCAGGGGATGCTCAAGCTCCATGATACCCGGCTAAGTTTGAGCTTCATCAGCCAGGGCTGGCCGGTATATCTGGCTGGGGAGGCTAGTTGCGCGGTCCACTATGACATCGAAAGAGAACACTCCATCGACGGGATGTGTTGGCAGCGACTTTCCGGTCGAGGAACTCTGCCAGGTGGCGATTGAACGTACTGTCTGGTCGCAGAGGAGATTGTAGGCCACTTGAAATTGGAGACGAGAAATCGATTGGATAGATACCTAACGATACCATCAATACCTATCGAATGAACAAAGAAATTGGATAAATAAGATGCCTCAAACTTGCAGATATGACGCCCATTGCGAGACAAGAAACCCTAATTTTGCCCCCCCTTTTTCCTCCCTTTCTTTCTTTGAGGCTCGGTGTTTGCTGGAAGCGCTTGTTCGTTCTTTCGTTTTTTCCATCTTCTTTTATTTGTTTTTTCTTTTTCTTTTTTTCACGTTTCACCCGGGGGTAAGAGAGAGAAAGATGAATAGCCGACTGGTTTTTGGGGTAAATTGGTGTAGACATAGGTGAAAGAGTTGTTTTTAGGAATTGAGGTGGAAAAGGTATTTTTAGAATCTTTTATAAATGTATTAGTCACATGATATCATATGCAAGGGAAAGTTAACGGTATCCGTTAGCATTAGTCAATTTTAAAATAGTAAGGATACAATTAGTCAATTAATTAAGAAATTTACCCTACTTCTATATCAAGTAAAAGATTGAGTGATTATGTGTTATAAGCAATTTATGAATGTTAGAATTACCGTTAGTTCCAAAATTCGATAGTAGCCATCCATGTGTTTAACTAATCCCATCTCAGGATCAGAATAGAGGCTTTTCATTTGAATTGCACCATTCTCTCTCTCTCTCTCTCTCATAGCCTATACCCACACAAAAAAGGCAAAGAAAAACCACCCACTTTTTTTAGAATTCTCTCAAGTTTTACCCAACTTTTTCAGTATCTCTAGAGGCACTCGGGATTTCCTACTTACTTTTTCTACCCATTCTCTATCTGGGCTCCTCTAGAGGCCCCTCCTTGGTTCAAAGTTCAGACCTTGCCGGTTAAACCATTTGAACTATCACCTGGACATGATTCTAGGTCTGGTTCTTATAAAATCCGTCTTTCGGTCAAAAACTGTCCAAACTAAGTGATTGAATTGTTGACCCTTTCGACATTGATTACACAAATGTATTGGCAAACTTCCAGAGGAGATAACTTTACACTCGAATGCCCAATTGAGGTGTTTTTTTTTTTAAAAAAAAAATTTGGGCTCAAGTCACAATCTTTAATATTTTTATAAGTAACAAAATAAAAAATTAAATTAAATATGCTTTGGCCTCCAAATCGTTTTTCCAAACATTGGTTCAAAGAGTACCTATCTTCCATTAGGTCTCCATTAGTAGCTACAACGGAAGTGGTTCACATGCACCATTAATATTTATTTAATGACAATAACCTGTGGTCAATCAATCAACCTATTAATTAATTTTTTTATAGTAAAAATATCCTTTTGTTTCATTTATTTTCCTTCTTTTACAAGTTCAATTACCTTTCTTTACAAATATTTGTTGCATGTTAACTATTTACTTTTCATTTGTCATCGAGATGTTGTTTTAAGATATCAACAACTATGATGTGCCATTTTATTACCGGATTTTTTACCATGGTTCAAAGTATCCACATGCACAAAATGCAAATAATGTATTTGTGTTTTGATATGGCAATACTCATTTGTTATTTTAATTTTTCTAGGTTGATATTTCACGATTAAGAATATTAGGAGGGTTGTTATATTTAGAACTTAGAAGGATAAATACAAAGTTCCCCGTATAATGGGGTTAGATGGTAAAAGTATTTCCTAGTGAGAAGCAATAAAGATATTTTTGGGTCAGTTAACGTTTAAGAAAAAATGGATGAGGAAAAGAAAAAAAAATAAAAAAATTGAAATAGATATTTGATAATTTAACACCTTCCACCATCTGACTTAACAGCTAGGGGTGTTTGTTACAAGGTGAAAATTCAGGGAGGTAATTGTGACTGGCTCATTGCCCCCATAGTATAAGGGGGGCCTTTGTAATTTACCCTATTTAAAAGACAAAAACCCCCTAAAATTGCTCTGCCACAAGGTGTCAACTCTAATATCAACTCCTTTCTCTTGTATAATCGACAATAGAAGAAAGGATTAAAAACCCAAAAACTTTCAAGAATGGAATAAATAGCAGAAAATAACCGCCCAGCAGAAGCAGGAGAAAAAAGCACATGCACAAGCTAAAATAAAACATTAACAGATTGGTCTATAGCCGAATCAAGACTCCTTCAGGAAAGGATCAAATGATTATGCCACCAAAATTCCAGAAATCTGAGACCAGTAGGTCACCTGCTCACTCAGTCACTTGAGATTTGCGACTTGATCTACTCATGCGCTCAACTGAGGTAAATGAAATGAATGGATTTACCTCATAAAAGAAATAAAAAAGTTTAACTCAACATTTCTCGCACTTAATATTGTTCTTACGTATTAAATTAGAAAAAGAATCAAATGATCTTGCATAAGGTAAGAAGCAAGCCTTCATACATCAAGCCATGGCAATTGCTGCATTAACATGAGAACTGCAACAGCTAGAAGAAAGCCCAAAATGCTCTGAGATGCTACCATCTTATAACCAGTGTTTGTTGGGAGAACTGAGGGGAGAGCACACTCTTCTCCATTAAAGAAAACCTTGGTGGGGAATCCATCTCCACCTGCCACATTGATACCAGGGGTCTTCTTTTTTGTAAATGAGATAACTGACTGCTGTTTCCCAGGCATTCTGGGATCAGTCTCATCGTTCTCTGCTACAAGATAGTTCAGTCCTGGAAGACCCTGCATAAATATTGTGTTGCTTACACCTTGCATTTCCAGCAGACTTGCATTGAAGGAGTACATTGCTTCAAAACCAGGTGCTGACTTGTCAAGTTGCACTGCAGCAAACCAATCTGCAAAATTAGTTTGACCCCAATTGAAGAGGGTTATTCTTGCACTCCAACCACGGCTATAGTCTGTATATAAGTGCCAATTGATGCTGACTCCACAGTTGTCGCCACAGGGTAATGGTTTAGAAACAGTTAGATGTTTAAGGTCTGCCCAAGCCAAAGCCTTTCTTGTTCGGTTCTCAAATGGGACAAGAAGAGCTTCAGATGGAAGGAGAAGTGCAGATGCGGCAGTACTACAGGTATTTCTTGGATTACTTTGGCAACCACAGGCACAGGTCTTGCATGGGATGGCAGAGTCATTGAAAAATGCAGAAAATGAAACACAGCATCTTGGATGTGAATCCTTAGAGCGTGTAATGTTGCATACCACTTGCCAGCTAGCAACTGCCAATAAATTTGATGGCATCCCACTGGGGTCCAGAAATTGGCTAGGGCTCACACGTACTGGAGACCCACACTTATATTCTGGGTTGAGTGTGCCATTGATCTTCCAATTCTGTGGTGGGAAGAGCTGAGTCCGATTAAGATCCGGGGGCATTTTATAGACCTGGATCTGGAAAACTGAAGTTGACTTGCTTGAATCCATGGTTGGGGGCAGGATTGTCCCATTCCGGCAACAGAAAGGGATCAATCCAACCTTTGAGTCATTGGCCTTTGACAGAGGGAGATCAATAATGGTTGGACTTCTCTCACAATTTAAGATAGTAGAAAAATCCAGACCTTGGTAGAACACACCTTGCCGGCCAAAGAAACAGTCTGTTGTATCTACAACAGATGGATAAGCCCCCTTCATGGAGGCAATAAATTCATCCCTCTTCCAGTCCCAGTTCAATTTCCAATTATCAAGACGACCAATAGGGTTGTGATTTGAGATTGCGACCTGAGCCCAATAATTTGTGTCATATGAACTGGTTACATCATAGGTAATAGTGAGATCACCACTTTGGCGGGGCAGGAACTCTTCTGAGGTAACATTTGCTTTAAAGGTCGGGTCCTTTGTGCAGCATACATGCATCTCATTTGTTCCTGCAAAACAAGAGAACATCCATATTTATATCATGTACCAGGAACATATATAATTGATCTCATATACTTGGGATAAGGGTTTGCATAGGTGGATAATGAAAATTTTTAATTTTTTTCACGATTGCCCCCGGGGCACTCAAATAACATAATAGGAGGTCCTTTTTTGTCAGCAGCAAGGGGTCCAATAATGACACCCATGTCCCAGGACCTACTTAAAATCTAAAACTGAAACAATGAGAAGTCAAGTGAATCTTATTCCAATATGACAACTGACAAGCATTATCCTGAAAACTAAAGGGGTAAGGGTTAGAGGCTTTGAGCAGGTTGCTGGACTGTGAAGGAGGAAGAGATATGAACTAAGTAGAGTCCTTCCCTTTTATCTCTATTCTTTATAGGTGTTCTACAAATTACAACCCCTTGTTTTTTATGCGAAATTGTCCTAACTGTTGCTGTGTTGGTAACAATGTTTTCTTTTATTTCTTTTTATTTTTTAGATCCTTATATGCTTGAGAATATTAGAAAAATCTAGGAGAAAATGTGATTCATTTCTGAGATGTATCTATTGCTCTTAAAATATTTAGAGTGAAAAATATGTTAATCTCAAATTTTTGTTCTAGTTACTCAAATGTTATGACTAAGCTGATGTTATGGTAATGCTTGCCCCCACTAATCAAAGGTCCTGGATCCACCACTGAGGGCTTGGATGATGATGACGTACTAGGAACATATACATGGGGTTGAAACTCAAACATAATTTTAAATGGATTTTGATTTTACTTCTCTTAATGCCTAGTCTACAGATAAAATGAAATTGGTCTAAAAGCTACCAAAGGTTATCTCTTCTTCTGATAAATTCCATAGTCCTCAGAAACAGAGGACAACTCCAGAAAATTTTAAAAAATACAAAAAGAAAAAAAAACAACATAAACAGTGACAAGTTAGATCACTGTTGTCTAATTGTCTTTCACACCCCATAAATCCCCATGCTTAGGCAGGAAAGCACCCAAAACCAGAAGACAACTGAATTACAACATTTATCTATACCGATTGTTCCTTGTTTTTTCATAAGGACATTTGTATCTTTTTCTTCATTTTTTTTCCCTTTAATATCCACAAATGCATCAGTTTAACAAGGCAAACCCCTCAAGACCTAGAAACAAAATGGGAATCTATTTAATCATTATACAAGTAAAAGCCTGCAAAGCGACAAGTTAAATCCCACAATGGAAGAACAAATCTTTATCATCACATCGTTTGGGACTATTTTTGTGTTTTGTTCAGTTTTTTTAATTCCTTTTCTGAATTCTTGTATTTGTAGTCCTCATAACTCTCTGAAAGAGGAAACCTAACATGATGCTAAATGGAAGAAACTTGATCCTTCTACATATTAGCCATAAGAGATACACAGAGGTAAATGACACTCAACGATAGGTGAAGTGAATATAAGGAAATAAGAGTTCCAAAAGGGAAAAGAAATCAAATAAAAATGAAGGCGATGGTAGCTTTTCTCTTCTTTTTCATTTCATCTCCAATTCTAAAAACTGCTAAATTCACCTATGGAACCCCTCGAACAATGAAATGGACAACTCTTCTAAACAATCTCTGTCTAGTTAGCATTCAGCATTGATATCATTGATAGACTTCCTACAAATCCAATAGACGAATTAAAAAACCTAGAATCCTCACCATTCTACTGTCAGTAGTTATGTGCTAATAAAACCCGAATCCAGATTTCTTATCTTCCAAATCTTCTCCAACGGTCACAAACGATCAAAGACCTTTTGAGGCTTTGATTCTAAATAGAGGTAAAGACACACACTGGTGGATAACAAAGCCAAAACCAAATCATTTATGCGAACACACAAATAAAAGCCATTCAATTGGTTGATTTACAGAGAATTAGAGAAGATAGCAAAGTACCTTGCATGGTGGATCTAGGACAGTAAAAGCCATCATTGACAAGAGAAATGTTGGAGGGCATGGGAACACTTGGATCCTTAACGCCGAACTGGGTACCAATCAGTTGAATCAGAACCTGCATCTGGTTAATATCACCGGCGGTCTCGACGGCCGTCTTGAGATCAGTGGTGGGGAATCCAGCAAAGAAGGTGCCATTACCAACGCTGGCGGGGAGGCTGGTCCCATCAGCCAAAACGGCATTAGAAGCAGAGACAAGAACCTCGTTGTGTGGAAACCCAACAAAGACCTTCCAGGATTTGAGGTCTTCGAGACCGTTATTGAGGATCCTGAGGGTGGACTCGAACCTGTAAGGTTGGAGAGAGGGGTTAGTGACAATGGGATGAAGACGGGAACCCTTGATATAGAGGTAGGACAAGAAGATGCCATTGCAGGCATCAGGGGCGGGTGCAGGGGCCTGGTTTTGGGCGTTGATTGAGATTGGGACACAGATGGCGAACAAGAACAAAAAGAAGACAAGGAAACGGAGTTTGTGGAAGGCCATTCTGGGTTTCTTCGGGATTGAAGAAGAAGGAAAGATATGAGAGAGGGATGCGAGAAATAATGAACAGTGAGAAACTGAGAAGTGAGAAGTGAGAAGTGAGAAGTGAGAAGGAAGCTCTGTGTGCGGCCAGCTGCTTTTACTTTTTACTTCTTACTTTGACCGAGGGCCACGGCTTTCTCCTTTCTGTCGTGTCGTGAAGTAAAAAGGTTTTTTTGCGTTAATCCTTGATTAATTGATTTCTTTCTTTCTTTATTTCTTTCTTTTTTGCGTGGGGAAGATTGCGCGTTTAAAAGGCAATTTGAATCCGGCGCAACCCACACGCATCTGCTGACTGCTGGTCGTTTGGCTGTGTATTACTTGCTACGTAACACAATTTCAGTATTCCGTGTCTATGGGCCCCACATGCCAGCGTTATGGAACACTGACGTGTACACTAGCGAGCAGCAGATCGGGGCTCGGCGGGCCACGGGCCCACGGCCTCGTTGTATTCCTTTGTTGAAAAATTTCGCGAACGGCTAAATTTTGAATTTAAATCCGGGACACAGAAAGCCGCCCACTGAGATCCATGGTAGGCGGCACTTTTAAATTGGACTTTAAAGTTTAAAGGGATTTTATATATGATAGCAGCAACTTTTCAGTTTTATTATCAATAAATATTATCACTTTTTTTAAAATATATAAAAAACTGTTCATCTCATTCCTCTTACCACCGAACAAAATCTCCCCACCTCCGTATCTGTATCCCAAGGTCATCCTGGCTCTTTACTACCTCCACATTTACTTTCTCCTGAAAATCATTCCCGCCGTTGTCGCATATCTGGCTCGTGCCCTGCTTGGTCGGGAGCTGTAAGCAGAGTTCGATGATCCCTACCTCTCCACCTCACTATACGACTTCTGGGGACGAAGACGGAACATCATGGCATCCAGCCATCCAATATCCTGCGCTCCACCGTATACGAGCCTACGTGAAGCCTTGCCTCACTACCAGCCATATTGGCGACGTTCGTGGCGGTTACATTGGGCTGTTTCGGGCCCATTGACGATTGCATTTGTTATGGGCACCAGCTTCAGGCTCTTCTTTCCGCAATTCCTGAGGTGCGGTGCCGACGTTAGGGCGCTGGGGGAGTTCGTCAGAGATGATGCTCGTTTTTTCAAAGTGGTATCTTTTCACGTAGTGAGAGAATAGTCTATACTAGATCTGTAGTTATAAGAAGATCAATGAGCCAATGCCAATGGCCTCCTATACATTTTGCCTTGGACAGGAGGCAAAAGGCTTCGGATTCCGTCGAAGCTTTAATCGCAAGCTGGTTCTACAGGCGGAGAAAATTGTCTGGACTGTTTCAAAACAAGAAAAAACTCATAGCAGCTCTGCTCCAAACTCAGATGTAGAGAAAAAGATGGAGGAGGAGGAGGAAAGAGAAAGATAGAGATTGTTCGGTGGTCTCAAGGAGGAACGAGATGGACAGTGTTTTTACCATTTTTTTATATATTTTAAAAAATGTTACCTTATTTTAGAAATTATTTTCATTGATAATAAAACCCAAAAGTTGCCCTTATCACCTATAATCCCAAATTTAAACAAATATGATCAACTTGAAAAGATATTTTGTATTAAATACGGAATAGAGAATTGAATGAGGTGAAAAGTAGTAGGTAAATTTATAATTTAAATCTTATAATTAATTAGGAACTAAATTAAAAAATAAGTATTTTAGTCACTTTTTTAAAAACCGGACCTGACCAGACGATCAAATCATTTGGATTGGGAGCTAGTTTGGCCCTAAACCAATATTTTACAACAACAAAAAAAAAACCTCGTTAAAATGATCAAAGAATTGCTAACTTGAACGGTTTAACCGCTAAAATGCTCAACTCGATTAACATTCTTGTGTTTCTCTCAAACTATTTCCAAAATTTTTATTTATTTTAAAATAAAAATTAAAAAATAGAAATTTTGAAAAAAGAAACTTTCATATCTCATAAACTTGTTCGATTATTAGCGATAGCCAAAATTAATTAGGGTTTTTAGTTTTTTCCATTTTGATTTCGAATTTTCTCATTTTTGTGATTCTTTTTAAGTTATAACAACAAAAAAATTGCAACTCCAATAAAAAGAATAGAAAAATTCAATGTAAGAGATAGGAAGATAAATACTGATCTTATATTAAAATCTAAGATACACCAATGAACAAACAATAATGGATATGCGAGAGATTTAGAAAGATGAGAGAGATGTAAGAAGAGGGCAAATGGTATTGTATTAGACCAGTTCATGGGCCAGGCTTTAGGCCTAATTTTACATTGCATCGGGCCCAAGCTTTGGGCCAGGCCCATTCAAATTTTGGCAAAAGCCAAGCCTGAGCCCAACCCATGAATAGGTCTAATTGTAATGGTGGTGATGATGAACATGGAGATAGCCACCGGTGGTAGTTTTTTCTTTCTTTCTTCTTCTTCTTAGGGCAAAACGATTCTGCAACAACGATTGAGGAACATGGTGGTAACCACCTCTAGCGACGCTCCCTTCTTCTTCTTCTTTCTCACTTTTCAGCTTTAACCAATTGCCTTTTTCTCAAACTCTCACACTCTCACACTCTCTCATAATAATGTATATATACAATGGACTTTTAACCTAATCCTAATCTAACGGTGAAAATAAAAACTTACATTATGTTTTACATCTTATTGATTTGCTCAAACTGGACAATTGAACTGTTGAATCGGAAATCGAAAGCCAAAGTGGCTCCATTTCTAGATTGATTGTTAAAACCTTGATTTTAGTTAAAAGAAAGTTCCACAATATTATTCATATTTTTAATAGTAGTGTAATATGTAAATAGAATTATAGATGTGTTCAATTTTTTCTATATATATATATATATATTTGTATTTTTGTGTGTAAAAATAAGTTTGATATGTTACACTTGATTTTGTTTAATATGATAAATACATGATATTATACATGTGCCTGGATGTGTTTTTTTTTTTTGCAAAATTTATGTGTTTTTTTTTGTTTTTGTATTTTGTTAAATTTTATTATTTATTTGTGACATTAAAAGTTAACATATTTAACCCAAAAGTTGAACTATTTATTATTAATTTTATATTTCATTTTTGGTTAGTTCTAGATTATGCATTTCATTTTCATTGTCAATAAAAATAATTCTTGTTTATTACACTTATTTTTTAATTTGATTAATAAAATATCATAAATGTGACTAATTTTTTTTTAATTTATATATTTATTTCTATTTTAAAAATTTTATTGCCTAATTATGACTTCATAGGTTGATCAATTTGATTTGGATGGTTGAATTGCTTAGCCACCACTTAGATAAAGAATGATTTTGTTTTTGAGTGAGTTTTAAAATATATGGGTTTATATTGTTAAAAACATTGACATCGATCTAATTAGTAACATTTATTAGTGAAAATAACTTAAAAAATATAGGATTTAATAAGAGAAAATGAGAGGGGATTAAATGATGTGGAAAGTAATAATTGAAGTTGCGCTTTCAACCCTTACAATAATTAGGGATGGATTTAAATACACAAATATGGCTGTTAATGCTCGGTTTAGTCGAGGGCAACAAAGTAAATTTGCTCCCAAGCTTCGAAGGAAGGCCGAAGGCTTTGAGGGTCTAGAGGAGATGAGCCGAGGCTGAGGACTAGAGGCCGAGGCAAATCGCTCCTTCGGATACTATAGAAGCCGAGGGCTGGTATTGAGAAGAGCTTCCGAGGGAGGACGAAGTGATGTTCCCACAATGACGAATCTACAAGGGAGAAAGTGTCAGAGGCCTCGGGTGAGAAGCCGAGGCAAGGACTCCGACTATCAAGTTAGTATGCGTGCATGGTAAGCAGTGAGTCTGGAGCCGAGGGGTCCAGATGAGTTCTCAGATAGTGCTAAGCCCTTGGAGGAGAGAGCATTAGAGATCACAAAGGTTTCGAATCCTTTACCTTATGAGGGGTGCCTTGTATTTATAGTTGGAGCTGCTAGGATGTAGTTGGGCCCGGATGGTCTAGATGCGAGCCGAACGAGGGCCTGGCAAGATGCTCTACTAGAACCGCAAGGCGCCCTGTGATTGGGTCTGCCTGGTCCATGTCAGGTAACCATGAGCGTGCTCATGGTGAGCCTATGCTGGTGACCCCGATTTGACACGAATCAGCCTTGTACAGGCCAACCAAATGCGCCTACATCACTTCCCCCCCCACTCTTGAGGCCGAGGTGGGGGTTCAGAAGGAGCCTCAGCTTCGGCCAAAGGGAGTGTCGATATTGGTAGGTGCCATTGGGCTTGTTCCGCGGAGTGTTCCCTGCAGTGGCGTCGTCTTCGTCTCGCTTTTGCTTCGGCTTGATTTCAGTTCGTGGAAGAGAGGTGAAGTTGTGGATGTCTCGGCTTCGGCTAGGGAGCCCGAGGTGGTGGGGGCCTGATTGAGCTGAGCCCGTGCCTTGTATTCACGTAGTGACGGTCTGGGGTCATGCGCGGTATGGGACTCACGGGTTGGCACACCGTGGTCATGCTCGGTATGGGTCTAGCGCCGGGAGAGTCTTCCGTAGGGGGATGGGTGTGCTCTAGGCGAACCGATCTACGTGTCCATCAGGTTTGTGCACTCGAACCAGTGGGTTGCGGCGAGCGGGCCTGTCGGTTCGCTTGGCATCGTTTCATCTTCCCGAGGCTGGGCACCAGTTCATTAGGCGTCGTTTCATTTCCCCGAGGTTGGGCACACGGTGGCTCACTAGGCGTCGTTTCGTTTCCCCAAGGATGGGTGTCAAGTGTCACACCGCAGATGGTCATCGAAGGCGAAAGCCACACGACCGTTGGATCTGACAAGATCTGAGCCGTTCATTTTTCTATAAATAGGGGCCTTAGTGGGGATTTTCTTCGTCATTTGTCTCTAGGCGCCCTTGCTATCAAGTGAACACTTTTCCCAAACCTTCAACTCTTCGATACACTTTGTCTTCACTCTTCTTTCCTTCGCCTTTTGGTAACTTTTCAAACAATGTCTTTCTCAGGTTCTGACCCTGAGTGCTATTAACTTTCGAATGGTTTGGAAGGGAGCTCTTATCGGACTCCTTCCCCCCTTTCTCCCTTAGGTCTGTTGGCCGTCATCCCCCTTCAGCAAGAGGTAATGGTGCTGAGGGAGAGCGTAACCTTGGGGGGTGTCGAGGGCAGCCGCCAAGGCG